GTGGAGTACAAAGTAATGTTATAATTTATAAATATACTGTGGACTAATTTAGATCAAGTTAGTTAATGCCCATGACCTCCAGTCCTTATCATATCTTGGGGAGAATATTTAATATTACTATCTTAAATCGTCTACTGTTTACATCATCATATGTACTAGAACTGAAAGGGAAACCTTCTCTCAGTCTGATTCTTCCTCCTTGAATCTCAGGTCTCCCCAGTCCCCCTAACCCCCAGCTTCTGTAATCAACATTCTGTTTTGTGCTTCTGAACTCAGTTGTTTTAGAGTTTACATATTAATGAGAAGAAGAAATATTTGCCCTTCTATGCCTATTAGTGTAATAGTTTCCAGGTCAGGGTGTAGTGATGGAAGCAATCATATTTCTTTTTGTAAGACTGAGTAATATTCCATATTTGCTACATTTTTTTTATTCATTCATCGGTTGTGAGACATTTGGCTTGTTTCTGTAATTTGTCAGTGTACATGACATAAATAACTCTTTGACCTTGAATCCTTAGGGTTATTCCAGAGTGGGATTGCTGGATTTTAAGTATTTCTTTCAGGGAACTTCTGCACCATTTCCCATAATGGCTGGACTGTTTTGCATTAATTCCCAACTATCATGGCAAGAGCTCTTTTTTACTTTCTTGCTTACACTTGCCTTTTTCTGACAGTGTAGAGATGATTTCCCATTCTGGTCATAAATTTCATTTCCCTGAGTTATAATACTAAGCTTTTGCTTTTCTCATGAATTCCATGGCCTTTTGTGTGTTTTAAGAAATATCTATTCGTTTCCTACATTTTAAGTTGAGTTTTTGTTTTTTTACTGTTAAGTTTGGAATCCTTATATATTTGGAGTAGTAATACTTTATGAGATGCAGAGTTTCCAAACATATCCCCATTCGTGGGTTTTAAATTTGATGTGACCCCATTTGACTATTGTTGGTTTTTGGTTCCTGGGAGTTTTGAGTGAGATTATAGAATCATCCCATGGCCAGTGTCGTTTAGTTTTCCCCCTATTGTTTTCTTTTAGTATTTTTAGAGTTGTTTTTACATTTAAGCCCTAGTCCATTTTGAAGTAATGTTCATATGTGATGTGAATTAGAGGTCTAAGTTCATTCTTTTATTTTGGAAATCCAGTCTTCTTTACACTGTTAATGAGCGCTTCCTCTGCCTATGAATATATTTTTAAAAATCACTACTTTGTGCGCACACATGCGTGCTAACCAGGAAGTCAGAGAAAAACTTTCAGGAGTTCATATGGTTCACAGGATTGAATTTGGGTTGTCATCCTTGATCGCAAGTGCCTTACTCACTGAGCTATATTGATGATGCTATTTAAAATCAGTTGGCATGCCAGGATTAATTTCTGGGCTCTCTGTTGTGTATGACTGTCGTATGCCATGCTGTTTTACCAGTACCATACTTTTGTTCTTTTTGTTCATGATTGCTTGACTACTTAGGACCTTTTGCAGATCTTTTGTGGAAATTTTAAAATTATTTTTCTAGTTATATTTAAAATAATGTTAGAGTTTTAATAGATATGCATTGAATCTACAAATCACCCTGGGCAGAGTGAACATTTTAGCACTATTAATTCTTCTGCTTCATGGTTTTAAGGGATTACAATTAATAATTACATATAAAAAATTAAGTAACCTAGAAAAAAATTTATTTCCGTGACAAGTAACTACTCAGAGGAGGGAACACTTTCATAATCTGTGAAGCTAGCACTGCCTGGCATCAAAAGTAGACAATGGCACTGCAAGAAAAGTCAGGCAGGGTTGGTACATCACTGTGATCCCCACGGGAGGCTGCGGAAGGAGGAGCATGGGTTCCAGACCCGGAAGACAAATGGAAGGAAAGGAGGGATAATGGGAAACCAGTGTTCTTGATGAACATCTGTGAGCACCGGAAATTCAGCAGGACATAAAACAGAGCATCCATCAAGACCAAGTGCATTGTGTTGCTGACATGCAAAAAGTGTTCCAAAGAATTCTAATTAATAAATGTGACATATCACATCAAGAGAATGAAAGATACAAACTATATGATTATCTTATTTGATGCCAGGGAAGAGGTAAAAATATATGACAGAATTTAGTATGTTTAGATGATTAAAAACTCTCACCAAAATTTTTATAGAAGGAACTCACCTTAGCACAGTAAAGGCCATCATATACCAAGAGCCCACGGATTCTCAACAGTGAAACACTGAAAGGTCTTCCTCTGAGTTGTAGAAGAGAAAGACTTCTACCCTCCCTCCTGTTTACCATAGTTCTGATTGTCCTTGCCAGAGCAATCAGGCAAGAGAAGAGGCACCCAAAGAGGAGCAGAGAAAACAAGTCACTGTGCTGATGGTATGACCTTACATAGAAAACAGTACAGACTTCATGGAACACTGTTGAAGCTAGCAAACAGATGTATATATCAACAAGGAACTGCCTCAATTTATAATCGGTACCAAAAAGTAGCCAGGAATAATTAAAACAAGGAATTGAAAAATTTGGACACCGAAAACTGAAACATCAGTGACAGAAATTAAAGGAAAAAAATATGTGGCAAGATGCCCCTCAGTCATGAAATGGGAAAATTAAGATTTTTTTTTTATTGTTTTGGTTTTACGAGACAGGGTTTCTCTGTGTTGTTTTGGAGGCTGTGCTGGAATTTGCTCTGTAGACCAGGCTGGCCTCGAACTCACAGAGATCCACCTGCCTCTAAGATTTTTTTTTAAGACAAGAAACACCTTATTATTTTTTCTTCCCCTGTACTTACAGTTTTAAGTGATACTTAGATAGTCCATGGAATACTTTAAAGTACATCACTCTCTTTTTATCACTAATTGAGACTACAGGAGGTTAAAACTGATGAATAGAAAAAATGAGTGTCCATTTGCACATAATTGTTCCACTGATGTTGAGCCGCTTCTGGCAGGATTGCACTTGTATTCATTCACTGGTTCACACAGACCTCCTAAAGAAAACTGAAGAAAGAAGGAAGGTTATGAATAGTTAAAGGAGCTAATGATTATACTAAGATTAATGTAGAATACAGGCAGCACAGTTGATCCCTGAATTTTTTTAATGGTTTTTTGAGGCAGGGTTTCTCTGTATTGTTTTGGAGCCTGTCCTGGAACTCACTTGGTAGACCAGGCTGGTCTCGAACTCACGGAGATCCTCCTGCCTCTGTCTCCCAAGTGCTGGGATTAAAGGTATGTTCCACCAACGCCCGGCTTGATCCTTGAATCTTGAGAGCTGGGATATAATCTTAATCCTAGCCCAAAGCAAAGGCTATACTGGTGACATGAGTTTCTTAAATTCAAGAAGCTGGTAATGTAGCTCATTAGTAGAATGCTTACCTAGCATGCAGGAAGCTCTGGATTCAATCCCAGCATGTTAGGAGGGAGAGGTGCATACCTGTTATTCCAGCACTCAGGAGGAGGGTGTCAGAGGATCAGGAGCTCGAGAGCATCCCAAGCTTCATAATGAGTTTGTGACTCTGTCCAAAAATAAAACACTGTTTAAATTTAAGTAAGCAAACGTAATCCACAAGTCTCTACTCTCTACCAAAAGATCTCTCCTAAAATATAATTAAGCCTGCATAAAATTATACCTTCACATTTGCTTTGACACGTTGTTTTTCATAGCAAAAGTGCACATATCCAGCAAGTAAGACACTAAATCATGAATTTAGAACAGAATTGAAAGTTAAACCAAAGAAGACATTGCTTAGCATGTGCATATGGTCAGAATAGCAGAAAAGAAATCTGCCTGGAATGGAAAACAAGAAACAGTTTATTACTGAATCATACAAAATACCAAGTCCTCTTTCTCACTTGTCTTTTTTTTTTTTTGGAATATTGGAATACAAAAAAACATGTAAGTTCTATGTGTTTGCTTTGTTTTGATTCCCCTTCCTGATTTTTCATAAAAATGGAACATGCTGTACTTTTCCTGAGGTTAGACCTCAGGGTTAGGTAAGAATTCCACTTATTGGTTCTTTTAGTTCTCTTCTATATATGAGGTAAAGATGGGTGAGGGTAGAAGTTAAGAGATCTTTCTTTAAAATTTGGCCATACTATATTTTAATATTTATGCTTCATGGCTATTGGGTTTGTTTTCTGGTTTGATTTGGTTTGAGATGGTCTTGCTGTGTAGCTCTATCTGAGGATGTGAGATAGATAGTGCAAAGGAATGCCTGTTCTCTGATAAGGTGACTCACTGAACACAAATATAGGTAAAAGCTTGCAGAGAAACTGACCAGACATCAGCAACAGGGCCCTCAATTCTGCATTCTTGTCTGTCAGAAATAAGTTTTCACAAGGGCTTAGATATGTGCAATGAAGTTGTATGAAGAAATGACAGCAATAGAGCATTGGGCTTCTGTGCTACGGTTTTGATGAGCAGTGATGAAGAAACTTGATATTTTTAGGGAAAAGGATAACTCTGCAATAGAATGTCTCCTTGGAAGCTAAATTAGACATATAGATGCATGTGCAACATTCCCCTTATAAAGTGCTATCTGCCATTACAATACTATGTGTGATTGTCCATATTAGTCTTTGCTATTAGAACAGTCTCAGAGTTCTAAACCCAGTTTTGATGCCTTGAAAACTAAAGTATATTGTTATATCTTCTGTCTTAGTTTTGATTTGTTGAAAATTAGAATCTGATATTTGAAGTTATGTATTTCTTTACATATACAGCAATATAAAATATACTTACAGATCATGGGTTCTTTACATACTGTATTTCATATCAATTGCTTTTATAATGTTGGCATGAAATCCTCTCAATTTTATGTGGTTTAACTGTCATTTCCATCCTTCAGAAGTAATATTAAATACTAGACTAGAGAGACTTGGTGGTTTCTCTGGCCACTCACCTATGCCACATTTGTATCTCCAAAAGTTCTGACTCCAAATGCCATCATTTCTTCATCTCAGCCTAATTGTTAATATGACGTTGCAGCTGATTGACAGTATTCATTTTATTTTTTAGGATATGGCTTTAGTTGCCCCTGAGGCACCTTCCGAACAAGCCAGAAGAGTGTTTCAGACCTATGATCCAGAAGGTAAAACATCCTATATTGATACTCAGGTTTTATTCAAAAGATGAGTTGGATTTCTAAATGGAAGATGAGTGTCAGTTCTAAAAGAAAAAACCTTGGGAAGTGATGAAAACAGAATGGAAAACAGAACAGTAAAGATAGCTGTCTATGCCTCCCATCAATTCTGCCACTGAGCAATTATGTTTCTTGGAATCCTTAGTTAAAGGTGATTTTCTCCTTGATGCAGGATGTCAATAGCCAGTACTCACTTAATGTACTTCTTTATTTAACTGATCCAAATGCACACTGAATAAGCAGATCAGGATCTAGAGAGTGGCTCAGCACTTAGACCACTGGCTGCTCTTGCAGAAGATCCTAGTGTGGTTACCAGTACCCGTCCAGAGGATCTGACACTTCTGGCCTACACACTCACACGCACACACGCATGCACGCATGCAGTCACGCAATAAAAACTACTTCATGTGGAAGACTATTGTCCTGATAATTCACCTTCTGATCCTGTGTTTGAAATGAGTTCTGAAAATTTCACACGTATATTATTTAACTGTCTACAGTTACTGTCACCTGAGGAGTCTGTGGCCTTTTGTTTCTGTACTGAGGAAAACATTGTACCTTAACCTGCATCTCCCTCCCATAAAGACAACTTCAAAGTGAACACCTTAAGTTCAGTTGTAAATTGCCACATAGAAACCTAAGTTGTTACATCAGAGCGTTCCTCCAGAGCTCTCAAGAGCTTCAGTCGTCATCGTGTTCTCTGTCTTCTATTTAAGCTCTTTGCTCTTGAATCTGTCCTTTCCTCCTAGCACAGCTCCCTTCTTGTGCCTCTGCTGGCACTGCCTCATCAGGGAGCAGATTGGTTTGTGAGTGACTGAAAAGACTGAAAATGAAAATTCATCTCAGTGCTCAGTCCTTAAGCTTAGCTAATCAAGAGCAGTGATGAGAAAAGAAAACTATTCGTCATTATGGTGACTCATATACAGAAAACAGGGTAGAGGAAGAACCACCCATTTTGCTTGCTTATTTTTTAATATTTCAGTTTATATAGCCCTGCCAAGCTAAGACAGATACAAATTTGGAGATGAAAAACCTTTCACTTAATAATTTTCTCCCTTTAGTAGAAATTTGAATTCTATTACTTGATGTTGTATTACATTCCTCACACTTATAATCAAGTAAATGAAAGAACTTTATACTGGCAGACCAGCCACCACACATAACAATTCTTCTATGAGACCATATCTTGCAAGCTTTCTTTTTTTTCTAATTATTTTTATTTTATCTATTTTATTTTTTCATATGGGCATTTGGTTATGGGTGTTTGGTCTACACGTATGTGTGCCCACATATGCATGCCTGGTAACCAAGAAGGCCAGAAGAGAACATCAGATCCCATGGAACTGGAGTTACAGACGGTTGTGAGCCGACATGTGGGTGCTGGGAATTGAAGCTGGGTTCTCTGTTAGAGTAACAAGAGTTCTTCACCACCAAGGTGACTCTCCAGTCCTGGAAGAAAATACCTTATCTGAAGACAATAGGAAGCAGTAAGATTTAGGAGTACTGATTTATGAGTGATCTCCTGGTCCCACAGTTTCACTCTCTACTTTTCTTACTTTAAAATTCAATTCATACCTTGTGCTGAATATCCGAAAACATTTTTGTGCCATATATGAAGGAAATAATTGGGTTCTCTTGCCATCATTAGAAGTCTCTTGAAAATTGTGCGTTAATTTATTGATAACTCTGCAGGAAATTCTTTTATATTAAAAGCTCCTTCTTTTAAGTTATTTAATTTTAGAAGTTAAAATAAAATTTTAAAACCCTGTATCATATTTAGCAGGGCCTTTAATTAAACTACTGGGATTACTTAATTGAATTTAGTTTAAATTGTGACTTTCCATACAATAAATATATATCTCTGTGCACTGTTTATAAGATCTAATTAATTTTTAAATCAATTCTGAATCTTTATTTTTTAGGATTTCTTTTTTTAATTTTTTTATTACTTTAATTTTAAATAGCCTCCTTCACATGTCAATCCCAGTTCCCTCTCCCTCCACTCCTCCCGTACCCCCCCCACCATCCCCCCCCCAGCCTCCCACCCTATCCCCACTTGCTTCCACATAGAGGATATCCATAGTCTGTCATTTTACTCAGGGCAGGGTCCAGGCACTCCCCTAAGAGTCCAGGCTGAGAGAGCATATTTCTTTGTGTTATGGACACATGAAGTCCATTTGTATGCCAGGAATAAACACTGATCCACTGTCCAGGGCCCCATGGGTTGCCCAGGCCTCCTCACTGACTCTCACACTCAGGGGGTCTGGATCAGTCCCATGCTGGCCTCCCAGATGTCGGTCTGAGGTCCAAGAGCCCTCCCCTGTTCAGATCAGCTGTCTCTGCTGGTTTTGCCAGCTTATTCTTTGCCAATTGCTCATCACTCCTCTCTCTGTCACTGAGTTCCATGGGTTCAGTTCAGTGTTTAACTGTGGGTGTTTGCCTCTGCTTCCATCAGTCACTGGATGAAGGTTCTGGGATGGCTATAGACATCAAGTTCATTATCAGGAATGGGCATTCGAGGTGGTCTCTCCACTATTGCTTAGCTTGCCAATTGGTGTCATCCCTTTAGATCACTAGAGGTCACACTGGTGCCTGATCTGTCTTCTAACCTATGATTCCCTCTTTCCCCTATTCTACCCCCCACTCAACCTTCCTGTTCCCCCATGACCAACTCTCTTCCTCTTCACCCCCTCTCTTCTTCCCAGCTCCAATCCCCCACCCCTCGCCGTGTTCCCAATCTGTTCAGAAGATCTTGCCTCATTCCTCTTCTCTGGGGTACCATGCATATCTCTCTTAGGTTCTTTCCTGTTTCCCAGACTCTCTGTCAGTGGAAATGCAGACTGGCACTATCCTGATCCATGTCTAAAATCCATATATGAGTGAGTACATACCATGTTTGTATTTTTGTGACTGGGTTACCTCACTCAGGATGGTGTCTTCTAATGCCATCCATTTACCTGCGAATTTCAAGATTCTATTGGTTTTTTTTTCTGCTGAATAATACTCCATTGTGTAAATGTACAACATTTTCTCTATCTACTCTTCAGTTGAGGGGCATCTAGGTTGCTTCCAGGTTCTGGCTATTACAAATAATGCTGCTATGAACATAATGGAGCAGATGTCCTTGTATGAATTTGCGTCTTTTGTATATATGCCTAAGGGTGGAATTGCTGGGTCTTGTGGTAGATTGATTCCCATTGTTCTGAGGAATCTCCATACAGATTTCCAAAGTGGGTGTATGATTTGGCACTCCCACCAGCAGTGGAGGAGTGTTCCCCTCTCTCCACATCCTCTCCAGCATAAATTGTCTTCGCTGTTTTTGATTTTAGCCATTCTGACAGGAGTAAGATTATATCTCAAAGTTGTTTTGACTTGCATTTCCCTCATGGCTAAGGATGTTGAGCTCTTTCTTAAGTGTCTCTCAGCCATTTTAGCTTTCTCTATTGAGAATTTTCTATTTACTTCTGTACCCCACCTTTTAATTGGATCCTTTGGTGTTTTGGAGACTTGCTTCTTGAGTTTTTTGTAAATTTTGGAGATCAGCTCCCTCTGTCAGATGTGGGGTTAGTGAATATCTTTTCCCATCCTGTGGACTACCTTTTTGTCTTGTTGACTGTGTCCTTTGTCTTACAGAAGCTTCTTAGTTTCAGGAGGTCCCATTTGTTAATTGTCAATCTCAGTGTCTGTGCTACTGGTGTTATGTTCAGGAAGTGGTCTCCTGTACCAATTCGCTCAAGGGTACCACCCACTTTCTCTTCTAAGAGTTTCAGTGTGGTTGGATTTATGTTGAGGTCTTTGATCCATTTGAACATAAGTTTTGTGCAAGGCGATAGACATGGATCTATCTGCAGTCTTCTGCATGCCAATACCCAGTTATGCCAGCATCATTTGTTGAAGATGCTTTCTTTTTCCCATTGTATAGTTTTAGCTTCTTTGTCAAAAATCAAGTGTTCATAGGTGTGTGGGTTAAAATCAGGGTTTTCAATTCGGTTCCATTGGTCTACCTACCTATTTTTGTGCCAATACCAATCTGTTTTCAGGACTATAGCTCTATAATAGAGCTTGAAGTCAGGTATGGTAATGCCTCCTGAAATTCCTTTATTGTATAGGGTTGTTTTGGCTATCCTGGGCCTTTTGTTTTTCCATATAAAGTTGATTAATGTTCTTTCCAGGTCCTTGAAGAATTGTGATGGAATTTTGATAGGGATTGCATTGAATCTGTACATTGCTTTTGGCAAAATTGCCATTTTTATTATGTTGATCCTACCAATCCAAGAGCATGGGAGATCTTTCCATTTTCTGGTATCCTCTTTGATTTCTTTCTTTAAAGACTCAAAGTTCTTGATATACAGGTCTTTCACTTCCTTGGTTAACATTATCCCCAGATATTTGATGCTGTTTATGGCTATTGTAAAGGGTGATGTTTCTCTGATTTCTTTCTCAGTCACTTCATCATCTGTATATAATAAGGCCACTGATTTTTGAGTTTACCTTGTATCCTGCCACTTTGCTGAAGGTGTTTATCAGCTCTAGGAGTTACCTTGCAGAGTTTTTCGGGTCACTTATGTAAACTCTCATATCATCTGCAAATAGTGAAAGCTTGACTTCTTCTTTTCCTGTTTGTATCCCCTTGATCTCCTTTTGTTGTCTTATTGCTGTAGCTAGAACTTCAAGTACAGTTTTGAAGAGAGATGGAGAGAATGGACAGCCTTGTCTTGTTCCTGATTTTAGAGGAATTGCGTTGAGCTTCTTTCCATTTAGTTTGATGTTAGCTTTTGGTTTACTGTATATTGCTTTTATTATGTTCAGGTATGTTCCTGTTATCCCTGATCTCTCTAGGACCTTTATCATGAAGGGGTGCTGGATTTTGTCAAAGGCTTTTTCAGCATCTAGTGAGATGATCATGTGGTGTTTCTTTTGCATTTTTTTTATATGGTGGATTACATTGATAGATTTTCTAATGTTGAACCATCCCTCCATTCCTGGGATGAAGCCTACTTGATCATGGTGGATGATTTTTCTGATGTGTTCTTGAACCCAATTTGCTAGTATTTTATTGAGTATTTTTGCATTGATGTTCATGAGGGAAATTGGTCTATAGTTCTCTTTCTTAGTTGTGTCTTTGTGTGGCTTGGGTGTTAAGGTAATTGTAGCCTCGTAAAAAGAGTTTGGCAGTGAGCCTCTCAGTTCTATTGTGTGGAATAATTTGAGGAGTATTGGAATTAGCTCGTCTTTGAATTTCTGGTAGAATTCTACACTGAAGCCATCTGGGCCTGGGCTTTTTTGGTTGGGAGACTTTTGATGACTGCTTCTATTTCATTAAGGGGTATATGTCTGTTTAGATTGTTTATCTGTTCTTAATTTAGTTTTGGCAAGTGATACTTACCCAGGAAGTTGTCCATTTCCTTTAAATTTTTGAATTTTGTGGAATACAGATTTTCAAAGTATGCACTGATGTTCTCTTGATTTCCTCAGTGTCCATTATGTCCCCCTTTTCATTTCTGATTTTGTTAATTAGCATGCTCCCTCTCTGTCTTTTGGTTAGTTTGGACAGAGGTTTGTCTATATTGTTGATTTTCTCAAAGAACCAACTCTTTGTTTCATTGGTTCTTTGTAATGTTCTCCTGGTTTCTACTTGATTGATTTCAGCCATCAATTTGATTATTTCTTGGCATCTGCTCCTCCTGGGTGAGTTTGCTTCTTTTTGTTCTAGAGCATTCAGCTGTGCTATTAATTCTCTAGTGTGACTGTTCTCCAGTTTCTTCATGTGGGCACTTAGTGCTATAAACTTTCCTCTCAGCACTGCTTTCAGAGTGTCCCATAAGTTTGGGTATGTTGTGTCTTCATTCTCATTGAATTCCAGGAAGTTTTTAATTTCTTTTTTTTATTTCTTCCTTTACCCAGGGATGGTGCAATTGTGCATTGTTCAATTTCCAAGAGTTTGTAGGGTTTCAGCGATTTGTGTTATTGTTGAATTCTAATTTTAATGCATGGTGGTCTGATAAGATACAGGGGGTTTATTCCAATTTTTTTTATATCTGTGGAGGTTTGCTATGTTTCCTATTATGTGGTCAATTTTAGAGAAGGTTCCATGTGTTTGGGTAGAATGTTCTATAGATGTCTGTTAAACCCAGTTGGGTCATAACTTCTATTAGTTCTTTTGTTTCTTTTTTAAGTTTCTGTCTGGAGGTTCAGTCTGGCAGTGAGAGCCGAGTGTTGAAGTCTCCTACTATTAGTGTGTGAGATTTTATGTGCAATTTGAGCTTTAATAATGTTTCTTTCACGAATGTAGGTGCCTTTGTATTTGGGGCATAGATGTTCAAAATTGAGACTTCATCTTGATGGACATTTCCTTTGATGAATATGAAATGTCCTCCTTCATCTCTTTTGATTAATTTTAATTTGCAGTCTAGTTTGTTAGATATTAAGATTGCTACACCCACTTGTTTCTTGGGTCCATTTGATTGGAAAAATCTTTTCCCAACCCTTTACTCTGAGGTAACATCTGTCTTTGACGTTGAGATGTGTTTCTTGTATGCAGCAGAAGGATGGGTTCTGTCTTCGTATCCATTCTGCTAGTCTGTGTCTTTTTATAGGCAAGTTGAGACCATTGACATTGAGGGATACTAATGACTATTGATGATGATTCTTGTTTGTGCTTGATTTATTGGTAGTGGAGTTATTGTGTGTAGGTTCTCCTCCCTTTTCCTTTTGGTGTTTGGTAAAGTGGGATTATCTATTGCCTGTTTCTTTGGGAGTGTAGTTATCTTTGTTGGGTCTAGGTTTTCCTTCTAGCACTTTCTGTAGAGCTGGATTCATGGATGCACATTGTTTAAATCTGGCTTTGTCATGGATTTTTTTGTTTTCTCCGTCTATGGTAATTGAAAGCTTTGCTGGATATAGTAGTCTGGGCTGGCATCCTTGTTCCCTTAGCGTTTGTAGGACATCTGTCCAGGATCTTCTGGCTTTCATAGTTTCCATTGAGAAGTCAGGTGTAATTCGGATAGGTCTGCCTTTATATGTTACTTGGCCTTTTTCTTTAGCTGCTCTTAATATTTTCTCTTTATTCTGTAGGTTTGATGTTTTGATTATTATATGGTGAGGTGACTTCTTTTTCTGGTCCAGCCTATTTGGTGTTTTGTAAGATTCTTGTATTTTCATAGGCATATCCTTCTTTAAGTTAGGGAAGTTTTCTTCTATGATTTTGTTGAATATGTTTTGTGTACCTTTGAGCTTTATTTCTTCGCCTTCTTCTATACCTATTATTCTCAGGTTTGGCTTCTTCACAGTGTCCCATATTTCCTGGATATTTTGTGTTAGGGATTTGTTGGTTTTGAGATTTTATTTGGTTGACGACTGTATATCCTCTAATGAGTCTTCAACACCTGAGAGTCTCATCTATCGCTTGTATTCTTTTGGTGATACTTACATCTGTAGTTCCTGATCATTTACCCAGCTTTTCTATTTCCAGTATCCCTTGTTCTGTGTTTTCTTCATTGTTTCTATTTCAGCTTTCAATCCTTCAACTGTTTGAGTTGTTTCCTTCATTTGTTTGGTTGTTTTTTCTTGGTACTCTTTAGATTCTTTGAGAGATTTGTTTATTTCTTGAATTTTTTCGTTCGCCTTTTCCCCCATTTCATGGATTTTTTTGTTTGTTTTTTTCTTCTATTTCTTTAAGGCATTTCCTCGTTTCCTCTTTGATGGGCTCTACCATCTTCATAAAATCATGTTTAAGGTCTGTCTCTCCTGCTTCGTCTATGTAGTACTTTTCCGGTCTTGCTGGCGTTGGGCCTCTAGATTCTGGTGGAGTCATGTTGGTCTTTCTATTGCTGAGTGAGCTCTTATTCTGTCTTCTTCCCATCTCTTCTTCCAGTGTGTGCAGGTGGGGTCTTTCTTCTCCACTGGTCTCCTTCTTTCCTGAAGCTGAAGCTGGGGTCGCTGGAGGTTGGGGCCTGGAAGGGCTGATGCCTTACCTGTGTGGGCAGGTCCTCTGGGTGCCAGGAGCGGGCCCCCCAGAAGATTGAGGGGATGGGTGATGGGTGGGGGAAGGGGAATTAGATTATTGAGCTTTTCAATGCCATCCTCACTTCAGCTTTTCCTCAACTCCTTGGACTTCTGTAATGTGATCCTCTCCTCCCCAGAACCTGGTCAGAAATATTCTTATTCCAACTTCTCATTTATGTTTTTCCAGATAATGGATTCATAGCTGACTCTCTTCTGGAAGATGTGATGAAAGCCTTGGACCTTGTTTCAGATCCTGAGTAGTGAGTGGAACTGGAATTGTTACTCTGATCACTCCAAACAGATCACCTCAAGTTGAAACATTACTTATGCATTTTTATACTTTTTTCAAAAAAAAGTAAAAGTACTAAATCTATATAACAAAATAATAAAAATTTAGGAAAGAAAGCCTGATCCAATCTGAAAATAGATAAACTTATCTATCACTTTTTAAAATTAAGTCTTTCAGTGTTATTTTGAAATTTTCTACAAATAGTTCATATTTTTGAGATTTTATATATGCAGTTTCATTGAAAATAATGACTTTGCCTTTGTTTCAGATCACAATCTAATGACCTTCCTCAGACCCACTGAAACTCAGAACCTTTGTATAGAGCTCTCAAATGACAGACACCAGGGCTAGAAAGGGTACAATAGTCTGCCATGTGTTACTGAACCTGGCTGGAGACTTTCCACAGATGTAACTTTCAGAAAACCTTTAAAGAAAGAAAAGTTTCACCCCTGAACACATGGTTCAGATTCCATTTCTAATAAAAATAAAAACTCTGGAACTGACCTAGTGTAAACACTAGCCAAGGAAAGGGAGAGACAAACACCCACCAAACTCTGAGAATGGTCTCCTGACAGAGGCCTTCCCAGGAAAGGAGTCCTTGTACCCCTGTGCCTGGCCCCTGCTCCATCTGTCCATCCTTAAACAGCTTGAGCCAAAGACTCCCCTGAGCACTGGGGAAGTTGATCAGCCAAAATGCCCTGTAACTCCCAAACGTGGAGCTTTGCTTGTTACATAATAGGCTAAGTTTAACTTGGCATTTGAGTCAGCATTGGGAAAAAACCTCTAAAAAAACACAGTGACAGTTTTGAAACCCTTTAAGAGTGCACTCCCCTTTCCTCTGCTTTCTTGATCTGCTCATACATGACACTCGCCACCAGCCCCCGTTATACCTAAACAGCAAGGGCTGTACAGAGCTTGTTCACTTCCGATGGCTGCTGGGCCATGTCACTCACTGTAATTCCCCAGATTGAACCTCTGATGTCTATGGCCTTCAGGTTAGTTTGTCCAAGAGTGTTGTGTATCTCATTTAGTTCATAAAAGTAGCATTTTGAAAGACATTTTTTTATTATCTGATGTCCCAGTGCCTCTTGGCTTGTTTCATTTTAACTCCTAGGGCCTAAAATAGTTTTTAGAAAAGGAAATGCTCCATTTGATTGTTGAACTCATGCATACCTAGGGAGCAGAGAGAATCTGCCTTTGGGAGCCTGAGTTTATAAGCCTTGGTTTTTAAATTACTTTACCTAATAAGGAACAATATTCTAAAGTCATCATCATAATTAAATTTTAAATAGTAACAGATTACTCTGATTTAAAAATAGCCAAGTTTTGGCAAATTGAATGTCATTCCTGTGTATTTGTCATTAAAGTTCTAAAAAGAACAGCTCTTAGGATTTTGGCATCCAAATGTGTTATAGTACCAGAAATTTAATCATGAAAGAACAGAATAGTTTTGTGAGGGTTTGTCTCCTTTGGTATTCACTGTTTTTCTTTTTTCTTTTCTTTTTCTTTCTCTCTCTATAGTATAAATCTCATGAAGAATAAATTAGATCCAGAAGGATTAGGAATCATATTGTTGGGTCCATTTCTTCAAGAATTTTTTCCTGATCAGGTAACATAGCCAAGAGAATATGTGTATTCATTTGTTCTGTTGAGATGATTAGCTGTGAACAGGAGTTTTGCTTTGTTTTGTTTTCCTAAAACGCAGATGTAAGACTGAGAAAACACTATGCAGGGGTCAGAAGGACGTATATGAGCCCTTATGGAAGTGTAGTGCTTAGAAAACATGCATGTATCAGTACAGTGATACAGTGCCCAGAGGATGTGTGTGTGCTGATATAGCTCCGTACCCCTCTCATTGGGTGTGTGCTGTGCTGTGCAGTGGGTCTGTGTCCTAGAACAACAGTGTAGTTCTCAGAGTATGCGTGTCAGTAAGTGATAGATGTGTGTGGTACAAGTGCTGGCCTAACCATGCACTCCTCTGGTTTGGAGGCGTGGTGTTAGTGCCGTGATGCACTTCTAAGGGTGTCAGTGTACCAGTACACTATGAATACCCTGAATTCTGGCAGGTGGCAGAGCATAGTGTAATACTAAAACAAAGATAAAATTAGAAGTACATGAAATACGGACAACCTCTGTCTCCCATGCCTGAGTTCATTCTCTCAGGAAACTGTTGGGTAGTGTCTTAGGACAATGCCACAAGAAGAAAGGGTAGGAGCGCCTAGTAAAGAGCCTGAGTCCCAGAAGCAAAGGGTGAACAGGATGGTTTTGCTTTCAGTGGAGGACACTTACCTTTTGTTGGGCTTTGTCTCAGTTCTCACACTGTTCGTTCTCACACTTGTGAGTTGTGCCTGATTGGTGGCAAGCCATTTCTAAATCTTGTACCTGTCTTTTTCCTTGATCTAAGTGAAACATTTAACCACTGAACTGAATTATTCAGCTTAATAATCATGGTCATGTCATCAAATATCAGCAGTATAAATTGTTCCTATAGAAATGCCAGTTTTGTTCAACTATTGTAGAAAAATGTAGTTATTTCATTTTGACATACTTGTTAATTTAGAATGTTGGGCAACAAAGTAATCAGTATTACTGACATTCAATCTTAGTAGTTCATTCAGGTTTAGAAAACAAATTTCCTTTTTGTTATTATGAATAAAGGACATGAATGATAAAACTCAGGAAGCAACCAATGCTATCACAACTTTTTAAACTTTGGCAAATAAATTATGAAAACAACAACAAAAAAGATTTTAAAAAAACCTTCTCTTTCTGACGTTGGAAAGGCACTATTGGTCTTTTCTGAAAGTTCTTTTAGATATGTCAGTGGATGATTAATTATAGCATCTTCAAGTTTTGAAGCAGTACTTGAGGCTGTGGTTATGTTTCAAGAAGGTGCTGCTACGACATTACTAGAAATACTGCTTGTTAGTTTTGAAACACTCATATTAGTTTTTTTGGCTGCATGTGTGTTAATTGCAATATGATGCTTAATATTAGAACTTACTAGCTTGAGAAATTAATATTGTTTTCATATTTTCTTAATTCTTTGAGGATTTCATATAGTGTTTTGATCATATTCACCTCTCGTTAGCCCCTCCCAGATCACTCAATTGTGTGTCATCTTTTCGTTATTTTATTTAACAAGTCATTGACTCCAGTTAGAGTTACTGTCTTAGTGGTAGCATTCCTTTACATGGTAGAAGAATGTTCTAGTTCCCTTCTATTCTACAGGAAACAGATCTTTTTCTCTAATTGGTTGTACTGTGCTGAGTTCATGTTACTATTTGCTTACTTCCCTGTTACTCTAAGCAGTCTCCACCCAAGCCTGGTTTTTCTCATTGTCTCTGTGGAATTCATATTCTTTCCTTACTCAACATGTGTGGCCCTTCTCTCGTTTCCATGAGAGCAAAAGGTTCTCAGAATGTAGTGTGTAAGAGCTAGTTAGAAATGCAAACCTCCAAGTCTCTCCTTAGATCTGGTGGCTCATGAACCTTGGGAAACAACACAGCAATGTTGAAGCACCTTTACGTGCTTCATTAGGTGACTAATGGCGGTCTGACTTAGGACAGCTGCCTGGCCTCTGCCCCTCCACACCATATGGGAACTCAGACCCCCATGCCACATTTCCCTTCCTGTCTGACCTGTGTCACTGGCGCTCTCTGCACTCAGTGCATACCAGCACTTGCTGCTCACCGCCGCCATTCTCGGTCGGCTTCATACCTAACAGACAGATACAAGGCTATTCAGTAAACGTGTGTCCAGTTAACTTAAGCATAAATGAAATGAGTTTCAAAAACAAGTTAGAAGGAAAATCTGTAAGCCAGCAATCTCTGTGCTGACTTAACACAGCTGCGGTGGAAGGACACTGCATTGTTAGGAGGTAGTTGCTGATCAGGGCAGCAGCAGCAGCTATCTTCAGGAAGCATATCCTGTATGCCTTGTAATTGAGTGCAGTTAGCCCCCCATTCTCTGTAGTGAAGACTAGAAAATTGAAGAGACATGCTTGGTGTCATTCACTGTTACATGACTGACCCAAGGGCTCAAAGTCCTTCCTGCTTTGCACTGCCTTAGTGGTGTTTCTGTATACCAATTAGTTATTCCACCTGGAGAACACAAATAGAATTAAAGTAAGGACAATGTTTGTTAAAGTATGACAATCCAGAACAGATTCCTCACCTAAGCAATCAGAGTGACTCATGTGCACCTTTGAGGAACTGATCCCCTAAGTTCAGTCAGTGAGAGGTTAGGTTTTAGTTAGGAAATACTAAAAGCAAATGTGAAGTCTTCGGTGTAGCAACCTAATGGTATAAACTCACATGAGGTTTATTCTCAAATGAATTCCGACATGTTTTTTAGTTTTTGTTTTTTGTTTTTCAAGACAGGGTTTCTCTGTATTGTTTTGGAGCCAGTCCTGGAACTTGCTCAGTAGATTAGGCTTGGTCTCGAACTCACAGAGATCCACCTGCCTCTGCCTCCCAAGTGCTGGGATTAAAGGCATGTGCCATCACCACCCAGCCTCCAACAGCTTTTTAAAGCTCGGAGAGTAGTAAGAAAACCAGTGGTGTGCTCAGAGGAAACTTTACAGGAAAGTAAGATTTGGGTCAGGTCTTAAAAAATGATAAAGGGGCACTCTAGAAAGAAATGTATCATGAGTGTCAGAACTCAGACTGAAGGACAGATTGGAGCCCCTGCTGTTTTGGAGATCCTTGCTTGCTCTTGGAATAAGGGAAAAAACACTCAAAGGGGAAAGCCTAGCTCACAGGAACTGAAAAAGTGAGCTTGGAGAAGGGAAGCTGCTCTCAATCTCAAGCCTTGAGCACAGCCTTGAACCCTTCCCAGAGTCCCCCATTGTAAATGGAGTTAGCTAGTTGAGCTCCATTCTCTGACCTTCAGACTGGCTTCATTTGTACAAGCAAGATACCACCACACTCCACCTTCCCTCTTTTCAGTAGAACTGTATTCTCTCAGCCCATCTCTTGTGCGGAGCTGAAGCAAGAGTTGCCAATAGCTCATCTACCAAGTAGAAAAGATCCAGTGGAGGGACTCTGGCCCAGGCTGGTTCATATTCATCCTCATGTCAGGAATGGCCAAGAAGACAAGATGAAGGAACAGAAAAATGCCTGCTGAGAATCATTAGCTAGGAGCCCAGGCACTCTGAGTGATAATAAAGTCTTATTAGACATGATATATTTTGATTTCTATGAAATGATATTTTTAATGGAAACTTCTGATTCACTATTGTGGACCAAATTGAAGATATTGGTACACGTGTATTTATGGTTTAAGTAAAGTTAGTGTTACTTTGTTCCTGACTGAGAAGCAAATGTTTTGCAGTAGTGTAGTTTAGGAGATATTTGTTAGGAGCTTGTCCTATTTAATATAATGCATACATCTAATACATACATCTACTTAGAGACATAAGCAAGTGCTAAAGAGCTTACCCAGCTCAGGGCTTCCCTGCTTCCAGAAGCAGCTACTTCCTTTCTCAGCTTTCCTGGCAGTTAACTCTATACAAGTTTCCTTGATCAAGTGATTCCCCAGTAACAGTAAGAGATTGGCATTTTTACATTCATTGCTCATTAGAAATTGTTTGATAAAAAGATATAACTTAAAGTTTTAATAGTCCTTTATTTATAATAGGGCTCCAGTGGTCCAGAATCTTTTACTGTCTACCACTACAATGGATTGAAGCAGTCAAATTATAATGAAAAGGTATGAGAATTCACATAGTAAATTGTCTTCAGCTGGGTTGAATAACTACATGAGTGCATGACTATGTCTGAGTCTTCTGCAGTTGCTACTTAAGGAGAGTGTTCCAGAAGTCTCCCTACTGCCACACGTGTCAAAATTGGGTGTATTCAATTTGACTAAGATGTACATTGAACTATGGGGCAATAATTTCATTGACAAAATTACCATGTCTACTATGTACACAATGTTACTTTAGACTGTGAAGGTATTTCTGAATCAGCAGTTCTGATTAATCCACAGAAGGATGTTATTAATCCATTTAAATGCAGAAGTAGATAACACTGAGATTTTTTTTTAAATTGAGAATTCTTTTTTAATTTACCAAATGGCTTAATTGACCGCTTACCTAGTGTACTTAGTCTTTAGTTTCACACGACCTTCTGAAGTCAGTGTTGTCTGCATTTCTGCTTTGCAGAGAGGCCTAAGCACAGGTAAACAGCTTGTCCAGAGCCAGGCAATGGCAGAGCTGGGATTGACAGGTGTCGAGTGTAGTCCAAGCCCAGAGCCTGTGCAGTTAGCCACTTTGCTTTGCACCTCTCCCTTCTAAGCCATGGCAGAGGCACACAGATGCCTTGTGTCTGAGTAGACTAGCCTCATTCGAGGCACTTCACTTCACTCCTTTGAGTGAAATGCCAGGACTGTGTGTTCTTGTGGCAAGTCTTTCCATTTATTCAGTAGGTATGACCAATATTAGGAAGAATACACCTTTTCAGTTTGATCTCATGCTGGTCTTAATAGGCTTGTAAATTAGAGGATGGCTACAGAAAGTAGATCATAATGTAAATTAGATATGTTACTTTAGCAAAACCAATCTAAGAGGCTGAAACTCTTACTTTTATTTTCATAACAAAATATAAATCAAGACCTTTCATATATCCAAAATCTTTTCACCAATTTATTGCTATCTGTAACAGAGTTCAGTCAGTAAGAAACCCCGAATGCTATCGTATTGTGTGTTAATGAGTACTTCATCTAGTTGTTGAAGTTTTGCCTAGTTTTGTCATCACTAAATATTAATTCACTGCCACAATCCCTGCAAGGTAGTCAAATATTATCCATATTTTACAGATGAGGCCTCTGAGACAGGGAGATTAAGTGACTCAGCCAGAGTCACACAGCAAGTCATTGACAGAGCAGGGATTGGAACTGAGTTCCTGATTCCCAATCCTGTCCTTGGTCTGCTTGGCCACGCTACCTGTATATAGTAAGTTTTCAAATCATGCTTGTGACAAGCGTCTGACATACTAACACAAGATCAGAAATCAAGACACACAGAGTATTAATGTGACATAGTATGTAACAACCATAAAGCAAGGCATGCATGTCATTTATACAGAAGTGTAAAGTCCTGAAGTTATGCAGGGGCTGGACAGCTAAGTGCTCAGTCAGGTACTACTCAGGATACCAGGAAAAGAACACTAGCCGCAGGCAGCAGGCAAGGCATTGGTCACTTTGTCCCTGCTCTGATGCTGTGAGCAGCTGCAGAAACAGATCCTATCTTGGGTTATATTCCTTTCAGACAACTTTTTACGAAGTGGCACTTTTGCTTTGAGGTTGGAAAATATGAATTGTAATTTTAATATGAAAAATGTATTTCACCTTAATGCCTTTGGACTTCCCCAAAGAGTAAGGTTTGTAAATCAAACAATATGACCTAGTAATAGAACATCCTATTTCTACATCAGTTGTGTTTTTGAGGGAACTCATGATGAAGGCTGATCAACTTGTTTCTTTTGGCTCCTTGGTCACATAGCGTATGGCTTTTATGTTACAAGAACATAATTGCAATCATGTGTATAACCCACTGAATAGTTCAAAATAACTATACATACTCTGGAAGAGAGTAGTCCATAGCCATTCCTTTAAATAAGTGTTTAATGTACACATTGAATCCTTGGTAGTTAGGGTTTTACTGGTATGTCAATTAGGGTTCTACTGGTATATCAATTAATTTTAAGTATTTTCTTTAAAAAAAAAGTAGAATAAATATTTTCTGGTATCTTCACACCAAGTTATAGCTAATGTGATCGTTATCACGGGTTAGCTTGCTCTGTCATCCTTCCATGACTTTTGTGTCTGTCCTCACATCTTTTGTGATTTTTTTTCTCCATGATTGTCATGAAATGTAAAATACATTGAAGAACTACATTCAAAAACATTCAATCCACAGACAGTAGATTCCATTAACAAGCATGCTGATACCTTCAGATTTGAACATGCAGTGCTTACATCCAAATGGAAGGTGAGGTTCTCTCAGGGTACATAGCTATGTTCTGTTGAGAAGCAAGAGCAATTTGACTGCCTCATTAGCCCAGCCAGAGGAAACACAGTGTGCCGCATGTACACTAGGGGAAGAAACACACCCTTTTTATCCACCATTTGAAAAAACGATGTTTTTCTGTATCTAAAAGTATATGGCTTGTGATACACCTATGCTTTTTTAAAATCTTGATCTTGAATTCTAGATTTTACCAGTTAACTAACAATTAAAATTTGTATCACCATCTCACAAATTTGTTTTGCAGATGCTATAATTGAATGTAATTCCTATCAAAACAGTTATATGTAAAGCTCCATATAGCAAGGTCTCAGAAACATGCTTGCCTGTGAAGTTGTCTGTGTCCACATGAGAATTTTTTATGACTGTTAACTGACCTTGCTAACTTTTTCCTCTTAACAGGTAATGTATGTGGAAGGGACTGCTGTGGTTATGGGTTTTGAAGACCCCATGCTACAGACAGATGACACTCCTATTAAACGCTGTCTACAAACCAAATGGCCATACATTGAGTTACTGTGGACCACAGAGCGCTCTCCTTCACTCAATTGAGTTGCCTGAGTTTTTAAAGATGATTGTAAACGGGTGTTTAAATGGGGATTCATGACTGGCTACATTAAGCTAAACACTGGTATTGTTGATTAACTGTAAATAACAATTAAAAACACATTTTTGGTGTTTAAGATATGTTTAAGTTATTTGTTCTAAAGCTTTATGTTAAAGGTTATCCTATTTTAATTCTTTCTGTGAAATTTACTAGCAAAATTAAGCTTTAAGAGTTCATCACTTCTGCAGTCAGGTAATTGGTTGTTATTTGCCAGATTACAAACACAATATTGCAGCATTTTTATAAGACTCAGATACAGAACCCTGCCTGGGATCTCATTCCATTCAGGTTCATTTTATTGTATTATTTTTATCAGCCTCTACACCAAAACTGCAGAAGTTAGTTTTTGTTTTTCATCGCTAAAATCTGTTTTCCATGAGAAATACTAGTAAATAACAAATTCTCAGTCCTGGCCTTTTGATAACTAATTTAGCTCTGGCATGTTTACAAAAAGTGGAAAATATGTGGGAACTTGCCATTTGTTCACAGGTGTGTAGGGATGTATCTTTTTACAGTGATAGGGAGAGAATCTGTTTGCTAGGAGGTCTTAACACTGTACCTTTCACTGTATTGCTAAGTACACTTCTCCACCTTTGATCCTGCAAGCCAGTTTTCTTGTATATTTCTAAGCGTGGTAAATGCATGAGAACATCTGTTGTTACTTTAACACATGGCATTATTATTTATTATGGTCCCAGCTAATACCATAAATAAAGACTTTTTTCTTAAACTACACCCTTGTACTTTTACATCAGTGGCTTATGATCAGCAAATGCTTGTAAGCATTTCTGCCTTCAAACCTGGAAGCAAAACGTTCCTCGTGGAGTCAGAGGAAATGTGAATAAAAGCACAAGGCTGGCGTAGCTAAGAGTCCTGTGGACTCAACTGGCAACACAAGGACTGGATGACAGCCCTCTTGGCCAGTAGCAAAACTACAGCAGACCCATCCTGTCTACTCTAGAGCTTCTTGCTTCCTTCCCTTGGGAGTGAGCCCATGACTGTGTCCTTTTGCATATCAGAAGTGATCCTTACCTTCGACGCTGTATATTCCATGAGAGCATCTAGGTCAAGTTGCATTTTTGTATAAACAATTACAATACATAAACTAAGTAGATTTTAGCATAGGAAAAACTTGGCCTGAGATTGTATATATAACTTCAGTGGCATTCTCTTCCAGGAATAAAATACTACTAGGATTTCAGAACACAGCACAGAAATCATCTAACTCCCACCCCACCCCCAGAAATCTTCTTACTACTGGCTTTGTAAAATACTATGTATGAATTTTACAAATTGTCACTGAAAACATTAAGTGAGAGATAAGTCTGTACCTATCATGCATGAAGCCCTGTGTTCAGTCTCCAGTGTAGTATAAAATTGAGCATGGCGCTACACACCTGCAATCTCAGAACCTCAGAGTTGGAAGTAAAAAGTAAAGTTCAGGATGCGATAGAGGCCAGCCTGTCTTTAGAAAGAAGCATTGCACAGTACAGTGATAGCTTGCCTGCTACTCCATCTGGACGCTAAGCTGAGGTGCCCAGAAGCCATGCTGCAATCATCTCTAGATGTGGTGATGCAGTGACAGCTGCTGATTGGACCCTTAGCTCAGTCACATTGCTGGAAGTGTCTGCAGTAAATTTTTTTGTGTTTGTGTAGTGTCTATGTGCAAGTCACCAAAATAAATGTATGATGGGAGATAAAGCTAATCTAGATAATCCCCAAAAAATTAGAAATTAAGCCAGGTACTTTCAAGTAATCCAAAAGCCAAAGAGAATTACAATGAATAGTATAGCATTTCCTAATGATCCTGAAAATATGACAAAAAGAAAGTCACTTATAACTAATGTCATGCTTAGAGGGAAATAAGTTTCCAATAAATACAGAAAAGAAGAAAATGTATAATTGGAAGCCTAAAGGAAAGATCGGGGGCTAAAAGAAAATAGGCAAAAGATTGAATTTGGACCCTACCTTATACCTGGTATGAAAATTAACTTTATATGATCATATGTCCACATCTCAAAGCTAAAGATATAAAAGAGAACAATAAGACATAGGAATATGTTTTATTGACCCTGGATTTGAAAAAAAAATGAAAGGGTATATTCATCGAAATTTAAAACATGTCTGACGCTACCCTCAAGATGGTTAAAGAATGGTCAATAGAAAGAGAGTATTTGTAAATTGTAGCTGAAAAGAAAATTTTCATAGCATACATGAAGAACTGGGTGGATGAATTGAAGAGAGATTTCTTCAAAGGTTGATGTTTGAATGACCAGTAAACATTAATATTCTCAGCCAAGGTAAGTATTGGAGAAGTGCATCTCAAAACCAAGATACATTCACCACTCCTTAAGCAAGCTAAATCAGAAACCCAGACGATAACACTTGATAAAAAAATGCAGAGGCAGGAACCCTCATGTGTCCCTGGGACTATAAAAGCCACCTTAGAGAACAGCTTTTGTCATTCCTCAGAATTCCAAATACAGAAACAGTATATGATCCAGAAATCCCCTAGGCATATTCTCAAAAGAAATGATGAAGATGTACATAGAAAGGTTTTATAAGAATCTATAAACTAGTGTTATCACAGTAACAGGAAATGGAGTCAGCCTAAAGCCCAACAGATGAGGGGTAAACAGATGCAGTATAAAAATACAGTGGAATTTTATCTGTAAATACAAGTGAATGATGGTACATGCATAGGTGACTCTTGACACTATGCCGAATGAAGCCCATCATAAGAGAATTTATAACTTCATTTGTTTCAAGTGTCCAGTACAAGTGAGCCACACACAGAAAGTGGGTTAGCAGGCACTAGGAGCTGGCATGGGGATGAACAGGGTAGCCAGATTGGGGAGTGACTAACTGCTAATGGGTTTAGGGTTTAGGGTTTATTTGGAGGGTGATAAAATGTCCTAAAATTAGATTGTGGGCAGTCAAAAAACCACTGAACTGTGAAGCTAAGCAGAAAGGACAATGAAGTCAGATGTTCAAGAGAGGGCAAATCTGTTCTCTTTTAAAAAATAGATTTATAAAAGCTAAGACTGATTTTAAAAAATGAGAAAAAATAACAGAGAACATGAGTACTGTGCATATTAAAATTAACAAGTTATCTTCTCCAAAAAAATTTTAGTTAGATTAAATGCCTATTTGAAAAATGGAATATAACAGAATTGATACCAAAAAAAAATCCTATGTTGGTTAAAGAAGGCTAAGCAGTGATCAAGTACATTCCCTACAAGCAAACGCCTAACATGGATGGTATCAGTGGCAAATGCTCCTAAACACTTGTTATATGTTGTGTGTGTGTGTGTGTACATATACATACATGCATAAACACATATATAATATGCATATAAACAAAGTAAATACTTGTATCATACATATATGATACATATGTGTATATATATAGTTTATCCAAAGCATGTTATGTCCTACATATATATTTGTGTACATATACACACTCATGTATATATATATATATAAACAGACTTTATGCAAATGATTGTTTTATGCCCTACACATACATATTTGTACAACTCCATACACATGTGAGTGTGTATGTCCCCCAAAGGCAGTGGCACCATTAGGAGGTGTGGCCTTGTTAGAGGAAGTGTGTCACTGGGGTGGGCTTTGAGGTCTTTTTCTCATGCTTCCCTCACTGACTCAGTTGACTGCCTGTTGCCTATAAGATGTAGTACTCTCAGCTCCAGCACATCTGCCTGCTCGCTGCCGTGCTCCCCACCACCATCATAATGATCTGAAACTGTAAGGGAGCCACCCTCAAAAGTTTTCTTTGTAAGAGTTGCCATGGTCGTGGTGTCTCTTCACAGCAATAGCAAACCCTAACTAAGACAGTATGTATAAAAGCAGTTTATTCAGAACACATAAAGAACCTCTGCCAATCATAAAGAAAGGGTCAGCCAAATTTAAAATTGTGCAGAGACTTAATCAGTCCTGAACTGAACTCCTTTGAACCATGGTAGTGGGGGCCTTGAGAACAGTCAACAGCACCCATGCTGTCTATACTGGCTAGTTTTATGTCAACTTGACTCAACCTAGAGTCATCAGAGAGGAGGGAGCCTCAATTAAGAAAATGCCTTCATAAGATTAGGTTTTAGGGAGGCCTGTATGGCATCTTCCTAATTAGTGATTGATGGGGGAGGACCACCTGGGCTGGTGGTCCTAGGTTCTATTGGAAAGCAGGCTGAATAAGCCATGGAGAGCAAGCCAATAAGCACCATGCCCTCTATGGTCTCTGCATCAGCTTCTGTCTCTGGGTTCCTGCCCTGCATGCTATTGATAATGAACTTTTATATAGAACTGTGAACAAATAAACCCTTCCCTTCCCAAGTTACTTCTGGTCATGGTGTTTCGTCATAAAAATAGTAACCTTGAAACACTGTCCAAGACATGAGGACTGCACAATTCATTTCAGTAAATGCAAGAACTCATCTCACTTCTGATGCTAGCTCCCAGTATGCACATAAGCAATTCACTTAATACAAGCCTTAATATGTAAAGTAGTTGAAAATAGCCAGAACCTGGAAGCAACCGAAGAGTGGATAGAGAAAATGTGGTACATTTACACAATGGAGTACTGTCGCACCTGCTGTGCGGCCTGCATCCGAGAATGTAGCGAGGTGGTCGGGATAGATGACACAGAGACCGGTCGGTTGCTTTAAGAAAACTTTATGCTTCCCAAGTCAGCTTAGGAGGAGATTCCAAGTCCGCTTAGGAGAGAGAAGTCTCAGGAGAAGTCTCCCCAAGAAAAAAGAGCTTCCCTTTTTAAGGACTTTTGCCATCCATTTACATACCATTCTTTCCAGACTTCTCACCCTCCTGGCTGGTGGTTTAATCTCCGGCCCCAGAATCGGGGAGACACCGCAGGGGGGGGGACAGGAAGAGGCATCTAGCCATAGGGGGTGTCAAAGTCATGGTATCTCAGTGAGCGAGCCCTTATCTGAGCCCTATCAAGAGCTTTAAAGCACTGAATTGTTTTCAGTAAACATTACACAGATGCCTGCTCCCAGGCCGAAGGGGAAGTGGGTTTCTGCTCAAGGTCTGGTGTCCCCACAATTCACCCCTTTTTATCTTTAAATGAGGCACTCCTGGCTTAGGTCAAGTAGGGTCACCCTCCCTGGCCCGTCTTTGGGGGACCTTGAACCCCTGTCTTAGGTGGGAGTGGGTCTTCCCCACAGGTTGTCCGTCAAAAGAGCGCCCCAACCTTAAAATCATTTGTAATAAGGCTTTATGGCTATCGGGATTGCCATGGGCTAAGGCACTTTGAACTCAGCATGAAGCCAGAATGCCTACTGCCACTGTTACCATTCCTAGTGGTACCTACCTACCTACCTACCCCCACTGACATAGCGCCTCTCTGTCACCTGCCCATCCCCCGATCTGGGCCTTAGCATTCTACCACCAGCCTTTCTTTGCTACAAGGGTGATTTATAGTTACAATTTGACGGTCAAAACAGTGATAAAGTTTACAATCATTTTAAGATCTACTTAGGAAAGCATTAGAGAGTGCACTTGCACAGATACATTAGGTACAATCATTGATGTTACACATGTAGCATTATAAAAAATATGAACAAGAGGCTTGTTGCACTATTTACAGAGTACCAATTTGTTCCTGTGGTGATGTAGTCTGTCGATTTAATGTCAGTAGTATCAGCCGAACATGCAACCCGAGTCAAAGTCTTTTTGTCGCACCAGCACAAACCACAT